ATCACAGACAGATGTCGGCAGAGTTTTGTTTATAATATTCAAACAAGTGTTGTTGATATTTGTTGAATTTCAGTAAAAAAATAACAATACTATATAACCACCCAACCATAGTACATGTATTAGTGTAGATTAATTGACAATGACTAAATCTAATGTTAGTTTTGAAGGCAGTGTGGAAAAATTGATTCATACAGTCATGGGGAAAAACTAGCTACCTTTTTCTCAATGTGAGTACTATTAACCAATACTGTGGTATTACTGTCAGCAGCTGTTTCTGTCAACTAATGTCCTGTCACTTCTGTTGGTTGAGTGACATGTTTTAACATGTCAGTCAGCCAAAGTTTACATTTTAACAAGGTACTTCAACAAGTATTATCAGTTAACATCCAGTATATATGTCAGCTTCTGTTGGACAGATGCACAGTCACGTAGGAACATACCAGAGAAAAGCATTGTTTGCTCTCTGTAGAAGATGAAAAGTAAATTGAAGTCAGGTGCTGAAAGTAAAACTGGCCAGCCACATAAATACAGTGAACAAAAAAAAGTGTGTTCAGACATTACCTGAACAGACAATGAGGACAAATGAGTGATAAAATTAACCAACAAGTAGATAAATGAATGAAGGGATGATTGGGAAGATGAAAAGCCRAAGGAGAGAATGAGGAATATTGCCTCTCCCAAAACAAACCGAGGAACTGGCTGCCTTTTAGTTGTCGTCATTCTACGACAGAGACTCCAGTCTTTTTAATTGATTTATCTTGCAATGAATCCTGATCTAGTCTATTGTGTCTAGAATSCAGTTAAAAGCTTAAATCTAGAAGTGATCCCTTTTATTTGACCAATAAATGGGTGACAATACAAATGGGAAATGCTGTCATGCTGTCATTAACACCTGCATTGGATATTTGTGCCATATAAAGAAGATGGAGAGTTGAATGAAACAAAGGTAAAGATAGACAAAATGCACATATGTAAAAATAAGTAGTAGCATTACTTTGTCATTCTTTGCTCGGCTTGATTTTGATTCCACACAAGGAATTCAGGGTCGTACCTATCAAGGGGGGACAGGCAGAGAGAAACAAGAGAGAGGTATACGTTGGCTGTCTGGCAACAATTTATTCAGTGAGCGTCAGAATTGTGGTAATTAGTAAGTAGAAATCAATACGTGGTCACTAGACTCATCTTTCTCTCTCAATAGTTGGTCAGGCAATGTGGTAGTGGAGGTGGGCTTGGTGAAAAACATGCACACAAAGTGAGTGGTAAGAAAATGATTGGTTTGTTGAGTAAAGAGAGGGTCTTATAATCAGACAAAATTACACTTTTAGACAAATCAATGTGTATAAATATAGCAGAACAAGTTTTGTGGCCCGTTAAGTTAACCTAGCAGTAAGAGTATATCACGTATCTAAGTCTTCCACGTGTACTGGATAATTTTGAGTTTTGCTTCAATTAAACTGTTTCTAAGTATTCAAAATTACCTTAAGACAAGTAGAAATACTAGTGCAGTATCTAAATAATAACTATGTTAAATATGTTCATCAGCTCAGGGTGTCACACAAATATCAGACTCTCAAAAAGAACTGACTACAATTTAATTTAGTCATTTTTGAATAGGATTTGTTGGCAGAAAGAAAGATTGCATAATGTCAGCTGTATCCTTAAACATGGTTATAATGCCATAATGGACCATTACATTACTGCACATTTCTAATCTCAGGGGGACCCTCCCTTTAATGGAACAACGACAAAAGCTTTTCAGAGAGCAGGAATGGTCAAAGCACCTATGTTGAGTGTGCATGTGATAAGGAAAAAATGCCATGCACAGCAAGTCAGTTTCTTCAATGTAGCAGGGTGGATGTGTTGAGAATACAAAACAATGAGGCTGGAGCTAAAGAGTGAGCAAACAAACAATGTGAGAGCAATATGCACAGAGAAATAACCACTTGGACAATGAGTGAGGGAAAGAGCAATGACAAAGGCAGGATCATTAGACAACTATGGATATAAATTAGTCTCAAAAAGATTTGAGAGCGCACAACAAGATTTGCACCCACACAAGTGCGAAAATCTGCTCAAATGCGACTTTTGAGACTTTCTTCCCATTGCAGGTTGACACATGTAATTKAGCACAAAATACACACGCTGAAGTTGMCWTTACTGGGTTCCAAAAATGTGCATTTTGTGAACTGTACATTTGAACTAAACAACTCAAAATAGTTAGGATATTTTTCCTCTGGAAAAACAGGATAATGTTTATCTGAGGTTTTTGCAGAGGAACACTGATAAATACATGTTTCCAAGTATTTCTGCACAGTAGTCTTATAATTTCCAGTAGTTTAATTCAAATCTGCTATCCAC